TTTCTTCCGTTTCCTCTTCCTCCTCCTCCTCCTTCTCCACCACGTTCCACCAATGCTAATTCCTCCTCTTTTTCCTTGCCTTCCCTCTTTTCGTCCTTCTGTGCCCCAGTCTTTGGCTGACCGCGTCCAAACTCACATTAGCTTGGCGACGGACCCAACCATATGCAGTTTTGCGTACCGCAATTGTGAGTACCTTCTTCGGTGGCGTTCCGTATGGGGCCACGAACCCTGTGAGGGGTGTGCCGAAATGGATGCGGCGGACGCATGTGGACGGTGGCATTGAGGCCTTCGGTGGAGCTCCTTATGGGGCCGCGAAATGTGTGAGGGGTGTGCCGACATGGGTGCGGGGGACGAATTTGGACGGTAACAGTGGGGCCTTCGGTGGAGCTCCCTCTGGGACCAGGAAGCGATTGAGGGGTGTGCCAAGATGAGGGGGGGGGACGGGAGGAGGGAGGAGGAGGGAGAGGAGGAGGAGGAGGAGGGAGAGGAGGAGGAGGAGGAGGAGGACGAGGAGGAGGAGGAGGAGGAGGAGGAAAGCGGGGACCGTCTGTTCAAAACGATGACCCAGCACCACAGGATGGTTGCGACAAAAAAACTAGCAACGGAAGACAACTGGGCCGACTGTGCGGACATTCGCAGGACCGCTCGTACTTGTTGTTAGAAATTCGCCAGCCGAAGTACCTAATTAACCACATGCGGCTGCGAGTACCGCGAAGGAGATGAGACGGAGGAGAGGGGGCCTTTTGGGTGCCACGAGCCGTGTGAGGGGTGTTGTTTGTGCCACTGGAGCCTTCGGTGGAGCTCCCTGTGGGGCCACGAATCGTGTAAGGGGTGTGCCAAAATGGGTAGCGGTCCCCGCGTGCGGCCTGTGCCACTGAGCCTTCGGTGGGACTCCTTGTGGGGCCGCGAGCCGTGTGAGGGATGTGCCTGCCTTCGGTGGCGCTCCTTGTGGGGGCACGAAGCGCGCGAGGGGTGCGCCGAAATGGGTGGCGTTGACGCATGCGGGCCTTGCCACTGGAGCCCTCGGTGGAGCTCCCTGTGGGGCCACGGACCGTGTAAGGGGGTGTGCCGAAGTAAATGGCGTTGACGCCTGCCACTGGAGCCTTCGGTGGACCTGCTTGGTGGGCCACGAACCGTGTGAGGGGTAGGCCAAGATGGGTGGCGTTGGCGCATGCGGACCCTGCCACTGGGGCCTTCGGTGGAGCACCCTTATGGGGCCACGAACCGTGTGAGGGGGGTGCTGAAATGCGTGACCTTGACGCATGCGGACCCTGCCACTGGGGCCTTCTGTGGAGCTCCCTGTGGGGCCACGAAGCGTGTGAGGGGTGTGCCTACATAGGTGGCGTTGCCACATGCGGACCCTGCCACTGGGGCCTTCCGTGGAGCTTCCCGTGGGGCCACGAACCGTGTGAGGGGTGCGCCGAGATGGGTGGCGTTGACGCATGCGGACCTTGCCACGGGAGCCTTCGGTGGAGCTCCTTGTGAGGCCACGAACCGTGTGAGGGGTGTGCCGACACGGGTGGCGTTGACGCATGCGGACATTGCCACTGGGGCCTTTGGTGGAGCTTCTTGTGAGGCCACGAACCTTGTGAGGGGAGTGCCGAAATGGGTGGCGTTGACGCATGCGGACCTTGCCACTGGAGCCTTCGGTGGAGGTCCTTATGCGGCCACGGACCGTGTGAGGGGTGTGCCTTGTGCCGAAATAAGTGGCGTTGACGCACGCGGACCCGCCTTCGATGGAGCTCCTTGTGGGGCCACGAACCGTGTGAGGGGTGCGCCGAGATGGGTGGCGTTGACGCATGCGGACCCTGCCACCAGATCCTTCGGTGGAGCTCCCTGTAGGGCCACGAACCGTGTGAGAGATGTGCCGAAATGGGTGGCGTTGACGCATGCGGACTCTGCCACTGGAGCCTTTGGTGGAGCTCACTGTGAGGCCGCGATCCGTGTGAGGGGTGTGCCGGAATGGGTGGCGCTGGCGCATGCGGACCCTGCCATTGGGGCCTTCGGTGGCGCTCCCCGTGGGGCCACGAACCGTGTGATGGGTGCGCCGAAATGGTGGACATGCGGAGAACAGGGGCACGACGCTGACGAAGGCGATGTTGATGACGCCGATGACGGCGGTGGTGCTCACGATGAAGGTCACGGTAATGATGGTGATGACGTCACAGGGAGAGCAGAGGCAGGGATGGGAGGACGGGGAGGGGGCAGAGGGAGGAGTGACACGGGGCGCTGTCTCTTCAAAACGAGGACCCAACACCACATAATGGTTGGGAACAACAAATAGCCTGACGAAGGACCCAACCATATGCAGCTGCGAGTCCCGCGAAGGAGATGAGACGGAGGAGGGGGGCCTCTTGGGGCCACGCCGGTGTGAAGGGTGCGCCGAGATGGGTGGCGGTCCGCGCATGCGGCCTGTGCCAGTGGGGCTTTCGGTGGACCTCCCATTGGGGCCACGAACCGTGTGAGAGGTGTGCCAAAATGAGTGGCGGTCCCCGCGTGC